AGTACTACTCAATTAATACTAGTAATAATATTTATGATACTAATGAGAATATTTTTGATATTAATATTAATACGTAATTATATTATAATATAATGTTTATAATATTTTTAAAAATATTTTTAATATCAATATAATATTTTCGATATTAATAAAATTGAATAAAGTACTACTGCATTAATGCTAGTAACTCTCTCTATATTCGTTAATTTTTTTTGGATGTTAATAAAATTGAACAAATGTCACTTAATTGAATAAATTTGAATAACCTTGAAGTCCTCGATGCTGGTGGTAGATCCGTTCATGTAGCTTCGTTTGTCAATCGTTTGCTGATAGCTACGCTGTTGGAAACTCTGGCTTCCCGTTTGGCTCTTCTGTTCGGTCGACTGGAAACTCTGCGCGTATTCCTTTCTGTAGCCGCCCATCTGCTGCTGCGGAGGCCCGAATCCTTCTGGCTGTATGTAGACCGAGCAAATCGCTTCGCCTGAACAAGTTCAAATCGGATCAAACGTTACGGAAAACTCGAATCTCGTGATGTCTTTTTAGTACAGTTCGATACGTTAAATAAAATATGTTATTGTAAAAATCCTGCTTAATCGCTGCTTGAACCTCGAATTCTAATGATCGACTTATGCGATCCTCGTTATTTTATTTTAAAAAAAAAGATCTTGGAATTGTAGTTTAATCCACTTTTCGATCTAGAGTTTAAATTAATAATTTTGTGTTTTATTTATAATTTTGCGTTCCAAAGAACTGTGTTTCAGTGCTGCGAGAGATAGGAATCGAACATTTTACAGCATCCGAGGAGATTTTTATTTCATTCATTTCTTATATTCGTAATATTAATAATATTCATAATATTCATAATATTAATAATATTAATATTATTCATAATATTCATAATGTTAATGATATATTAATAGTATTAATAATATTCATAATATTCATAATATTAATAATATTAATATTATTCATAATATTCATAATGTTAATGATATATTAATAGTATTAATAATATTCATAATATTAATAATGATAATAATATTCATAATATTAATAATAATATTTTCAATATTAATAGTAATATATTTGATACCAGTAATAATATTTATGACAGTAATAATANATATTTTTAATATTAACAGCAATATATTTGATACTAGCAACAATATTTGCGATACTAATAATAATATTCTTGATACTAGTAACAATATTTTTAATATTAACAGCAATATATACGATACTAGCAACAATATTTGCGATACTATATAACAATAACATTCTCGATATTAATAATAATATTTTCAACATTAGCAAGAATGTTAATATCTTTCTCAAT